GCAATGAGTGACCACGCCAGGCCGCCTGAGGCAGGTACATTTGACCGTGGGTTGCATGAATAAGGGTGGCGCGGCTGCTTTGGACAGGTGACCGTTTTAAAAAGTGAAATTAATTAGAAAACAACAGACGAAAGGAGGGGGGGTGGAAAGTTGCCATTTGTACAGGTGGGCGTATTATACAGATGGCCGTCATGGCAGGTTTGACTGTGTTTTTAATTTCACAAAAGCGGTCCATGCATTTTCAAGTCTTTGGTGGACGTCGTCAAGGCAGTCTGCAGTTTTGGATATTCATGTAATGCTGCCAAAGTACTTGAATTTACTAATTACTTCAAAGGGTTCTCCATAAACTGCTATGGGCGTAGTTTCTGATGATAGTCGTAGTACTTCTGTTTTGGATACATTTTTTGTAAGGCAAACTTCCCCCCCCCCCCAACTTTTGCAAGTTCATCTTTTAAAAAAAAATGCATTTAAGGTACTGTGATTTTTAATAGGCGGGTGTCATCCACAAAATCTAAATCTCCTAAATATGTGAAATTCGTCCATCCAATGCATGTTTCAATGTATTTACTCAATCTCATTACAAATTTGATTTTTTAAAAATACAGGTGATGATATACAGCTTTGTCTACCACCAGTGTTTACTTCAAAAGGTGTAGATAGTTCTCCTTCAACTAGGACACAGCAGCTTGCACTATAGGGGGGGCATGCCTTAAATTGCAAGAATTTTCCACTGGGCCTCTCCGTCTATGCTGTCAAAGGTATTTGTTAAAGTCCACAAAGTTCAAGATAATTGGGACATTCCATTCTTTGTTTTGTTCTACGATATTTCTCAGAACAAACAGTTGATCTGTAGGCCTACGTGATCTCCCTGGTGGAAAACCCGCCAGTTCCTCTCTTAGTCTCTCATCTATTGCTGTTCTAATAAGAGACAAGATAAGAGCGCAAACTTATCTTCCAGGCACTGATAAAAGCGTTATTCTTGTCCAATTGCTGCAGTCTTTTAGGTCTCCTTTTTTGTAGTTTTATTATATTTCCCTGTCTACATTCCATGGGCGTGTGTTCTTTTTCAAGAGTTTCGTTAACCCTATCCGTACTTCGTGTTTTACTGTCGTATCCATACGGCGTGGGGAACTCTGTGCCACCACTTAACCCTCTCCGTACTTCGTGTTTTACTATCGTATCCATACGACGTGGGGAACTCTGTGCCACCACTTTCCAAAGAGGAAATTTACTCGTGTCGTTAATCCGATCCGTGC